TAATTTGTTGTTGAAAACTTTTCTTTCAGTCAATAACAGAACCTAACTTCCAATATATGGCGGCCAGACTGTGCAACTTGTTATCCATGGAAAATAGTATTGTACTAAAGAATAATGAAAAGTTCCAGAGTGTATTGATGAATAGGTACTTGAAAAATGTGTTCTTTGATCAAAATACAGATTGGCAATGTGCTGAATAGGTTACATGTATACATGTAACAGTCGTGGAGGTGTGGTGGCCTCATGGTTAGTGCGCTTGTCTCTGGATCGAGCAGTTCGGGTTCAAGCCCTGGCCAGGGACATTGTGTTGTGTCCTTGGGCAAGACACTACTCTCACAGTGCCTTTCTCCATCCAGGTGTATAAATGGGTACCAGTGAATTTAATGCTGGAGGTAACCTTGTGATGGACTATCCAGGTGGGAGTAGAAATACTCCTAGTTGCTTCATGCTAAGGAAACTGGGATAAGCTCCGGCCTGGTGGGCCACTTGGCTTGTATGCAGACTTATACATGTAACAGTAACTGTTATCCCCATTCCCTGAAAGTCTTAAAAATCCATAAATGTGGGCTAACATGAAGTAATCTGGAAAAAAAAAGGAATTATGACAATTAAGTAAATTACATCATTTGTACATATAACTAAGTTGAAGGCAATTTTCATGCACATTTATTGTGATCAGTGCATTTTTTCTCTTAAGTGAGGCTGATTTTCATTAGTGCAGCATAAGCTCTGTAAGCTAAAATACACAGGTGCACTACGATATTGATAATTAGTTTCGCCCAACTAGTGGACTTATGCAAATCCTGCATTTTAATTGGCTACGCTATAATACAGTGATAAAACAACTAGACCCTTCACCCTCAAGGGCCATGGGTCAATAGCCTAGTCAGCTTTGCCTCATGGGCTATTGACCCATAGCCCACTTATCAAAACGTGCTACTTAGCAACACCCTACTGTGTCTGCATAGGTTGCTTTAGTTAATAATTTATGCAGAGGTTGATAAAATAATTTTTGATTATGCTTGTTCACTAGTGAAACCAGGCTTTCTCTTTTCTCTAACAAGGCAGTAAGTATGTCAACATGCATGTTCTGAAGTTTGTATGTTTGAGATGTTTAACCATATACCGTTTACATGTATCTTTTCAGATGCAGAGATGAACATTTAAACAGAGAGGCATCTCTTCAAAATCCTGAAACCTTACCACGATTGCTTGGGTTTGCAATGTTTGAGGCTGAGCTCTTTTGTAACTACAGGGTAAGCACACAGATCTCTTTCAGACTTTACCTTGTTCACAGGCTTGTACACCATGATGCTAACAGTTTCAATTTATGTACTTTAATTTATGATTGTTCATTTGCAGCCCTTAGGTGAGAGTCAACCTTTAGAGGTATTTCACAGAGGATTGTTAGAAATGTTAAAAACTCTTTTACAAAACCACTCAGAGGACTGTCTTAAATGCATTGGGAATATGTTAAAGGTATGTTAACCCAGACAGAATAAGATTCAGATAATGAATGCCACTCAAAAGTTGACAATTTGCCAATAAGTGCTCAGGTTTTAATTTGTTTTGATTAGTCTACTTTTTCAATGTTAGTAGTTTTATTTCTTTTTTCACTCCATGAACTTGAAAAACATTATTTACTTTTTCTAGCTTAAGTTATTAAATAAATGGAATAGTAAGTAATGGGTTAATCTAACTTGTGGCTCTTCCTTCATTGCCCAATACCAATATCTAAACCTAGATATCTCTCCATGCCATAAGACAGATAAGGCTTTGACATTCTCCTTCTGTCTTCTTCAATTTCCAGCTAAAACTCAGACAGTTGCCAATGACTGCCAGCCAGCTGCACACCTTTCGTCTATCATTCTCCTCCAATCCATGTACATGTAGATGTAATGTTACTTTGGGTTGACCTGATCTCCTCCACCAGTCAGTTCCCATTAACACACTGGTGTTCATCTTATACACACAAAAAATGAAAAGGATGCACAGTTTCTTGGCAAAGTGTATCCTTGCCAGGGATGCAGGAAAAAAGTTCAGAAAATTGTTAGTAAATAGGCGAA